TGCCCCAGCAGGAAACCAGTCCTCAGAGTCACAATGTCCCTGTGAGCTACCACTACCATTATCATCCTGACCATGATTCCCTGTATTGAAGTGATATATGGTGCTGGCTGATTGTGTCAGTTGATAGAACATCAACCCACCACTGAGAGGTCACAGGTTCCAGCCCTGGTCAGTCACATGCTAGGGTTGAGGCCTGGATTCCCAATAGGGTTGTACATAAGCAAGCCTTCTTTCTTGCTCAATGATGTTCTCTGTCTCTCGCGCCCCCTTCCTTTCTAAGTCCAATCAGTAAAAGTACATACATATACATATACATATACATACACATATACATATACATACACACACAAGCACACACATCCTAACCCAAGCAAATTTCTCCATTGATTTTAGAGAGTATGGTAGTAGGAATACAGAGGAAAACATGGACGTGAGAGAAAGAACAGATAGGTTGCCTCCTGCCGGACACCCCAGCAGTGCCGAAGCAGGGGAGTAGCCTGCACCGAGGTTTGTGCCCTTGGCTGCAATCAAACCTGGGTTATGAGAGTCAGGCTGTTGCTCCCACATATCACTTCACTGGTTGCCAAAACCGGGGTCCTCTTCGTAGAGCTCTTGTCCTGGCCTTAGGTTTCTGGGCCGATAGTTCAGCGTCCTAGGTCCCAGGCCAGGAAGAGGAGCCAGACAGTCCCAGGACCCCACTGTCTCAGAGGCCACGATAGTGTGAGGCCCTGACATGGCCCCACAGCCCTGTCCCCTGAGCGGCTCTCACCCTGCAGGAATCTGTGGGAACTAAAGCGCTGGTGAGGGCCTGGCACCCACCCCAGGACCCAGGGGCTCAGGCCCAAGGTCCAGCGCTGCGGAGATGCCTCAGCGCTGTTCCTCAGGGAGCCTCCTTTTGGGTCGCTGTGTTCATAGCCCCTCCTACTGCTCTCACTGCCACCCTCTAGCCTGGAGGCTGCTCCTCCTCTGGGCATTTGGGGAATGTTTACACCCGCATCTCAGGCTGCTCACAACCACCCACAGCCCTGTCGCCCTGAGCATGAAAGTAAAACTCCTCCCGGGACCCGCCTCTCATCCTCTGTGTCGCCTTTAGACACAAACCAGGTCTGGGTGTCCCACCTCCCGGCTGAGTCCCAACACGGCCTCCCCCGGCGACACCGAAACCCATCGCCCTCCTCCCTGCTCCTACCCCGGGTCCCCCACAAGGACTCACTGTGCTGGACGCTGCGACCTGGGCTGCAGGACCTGAGCAGCACCGGGAACATAGGCTGGAGGGTTAAACGGGGTGACGCTGAGTCAAACTGTGTGAGCGGAGAGGAGTCGGGGAGGAACAGGGACCCCAATCCCG